CAGGATGAATACATCAGAAAAGTCTTCTTAACAAGAAAAGAAAACAAAGATCCAATATTCTAGTCTCTGGAAAGGTTATTGACTCTGGCTACTTATAAAGAATCTAATCAAATCTCTGAATGTTTTGGGGTCTTTAACTTTACAAATTCATAGAAAAACTAAATATAAAGCTATGACTCCCCCAAATGTATCATCATACCTCAAGGTTCTGTTCCCGTAACATCCCAGGTCTCCAATACCAAGATCATCAGCCATCATTAAAATGACATTGGGATTTGAAGCACTGTGTGTTTTGACACTGTTTATGGCACACTGGCAAATTATTAGAAATAATAGGAGTCTCATCTTCTTCCTGGTGTGTAAGAACAGAAACCTTTCTTTTAATTTGGCTGTTAATCTAATTTAGTTCTATTACTGTCCTGGATTGTATAATAGAAAAGAAAAAAAGATCAAGTTACAACCTCAGTGACAATACTTTTGCATACACAGACACACTATACAGTAATAAATATTGAAAAAGTTGTTTAGTAGGTTTTTTTTTTTTTTGGGGGGGGGGGGGGTAGATATAAATGTGATTTGAGGAACACAGAAACCGAAATAATTTAGGACTAAAATTTCCAAGGTTCATTGCACAAAAAAAAGGACTGAATTTCTCTTCAACACAGGAAAAGAAAAATCCAGTTCAAGTTTCTTGACAGGAATAAGTATTATGGAAAAAGAGGTGAAGAGATGCATCATCAAATTAATGAAAGGAATGCTTAAGAAAAAGTTCTCCACAAACGTTTTAAATATCAGGACCTGCAGCAAAATTATGTAAAAATATTTTATATTGTATCACAATGTTCTATAAACAATGCTTGTGCTATATCCAACTTAAAACCGGAAGAAATATTGTATAGAATACTACATACCATTACAGGCTTTTATGATAAAAGCACAGTCTATTTGCAGATACGTATGTCACGAATGGTATTTTACCTAAACCGGGACTTGTCATATCTCTGTTTAAACTGCATTGACTATGCCCTAGCTGAAATTCATTGTCTCTAGGCTGTGATGGACTGTGCCAGGTATACACATCAAAAAAGAACGGAGACTCTCTCTTGCCCCTAGTAATACTCCCATCTTTTCTGGATGCAGGCTGCCTTTTTCAAATGCAGATGAGGCGTGAGTCACACCTGCACTCTGGATTATGCTGGGACAAGAAGGAAAGCAGAGGAAGCTAAGTCTGAGGTAGCAATTTGAAAGTGAAAGTGCAGGAAAAGGAACTAGAAACAAGAATTTCCAGACAGAATAGGGACAGCAGGTCAAGAAGGAAAAAAACTTGTACATCAGTGAGTTATGGTAGATAAAAGTAACTTGAGAGAAGATAAAGAAGCCAGAACTGGAAGAGCTGGTACAAAGAGACTAAACATCAAGGGAGAGAAATTCATAAATCAGTGAGGTGTGGTGGGTAAAAGTATCTGTAGAGAAGATGAAGTAGTCGGAACTAGAAGAGCTTGCACTGACTTGAATAAAGAGCAAGAAGGGAAGCTTGAGACCCAGCTGGAATGAGAATTGCAGGTTGAAATGAGGAGAAATAGTAGAGGGTTTAAGAAACTGGAAGGCATATTATGATAGTGGATAGGAAAACAAATCGAGGAAAAGAGGTGACAGAACTGGGAGTATCTGGGACGAAACAGCTGAAGAGCTATGATCAAGGCAGATGAAGAGAACTGATTGGAAAGAGCCTAGGCATATAAGACTTGGGACTGACACAAGTGAGAAGAGATCAAAACAGTGGGGATCAACCAACACAGCCTGGGACTTCTGATTCCCAACCTTCACTATTGCCGTTCTGTCAGAAAGTATAGGTGCAAAGAGGATTTTAACTCTTTCAGTGCTTGTTCACATACAGATAAAACTCTAGTAAGTGTATTAGCTGATTTTTACTGCTTAACATATGCTTTATAACCCACTGGCCTCACTGTGATGAAAACAGTTCTGGTTTACTTCAGCCAGCAACATCTAAAGATCCCAGCCTTATCACTGTGGCAACAGATCATTACCTGGTTTACTCCATGAGAAGCAATTTACTAAATGCAGTTCTGCTTGGTGGGATGCATCTAACCAACCTTCATCAAATTACCATACTAATGAAGCTGTGTAGCACCTGCCACAGTGCAGATTTTTAATATGCAGAGTGGATTTTCCTTTCTTCCCTGAAAGGATAAACAAGCGTGAATTGCTTCCCACACACTGCAAGAGAACAACTAAGACCCTGACCCCACAGGGTAGGAACAACCTGCTGCCCTATCTTGTGTTCCTACTCCACTGTTCAGATTGTGAGGGTCTCAAGGCCCATGGTAGCAGGGACGCTGAGAAGGGTTACATACACATTGGTGACATATAAAGTTGCATGGATGCTCGCAGTACCTGCACATTTATTTCACTAAATTACTGAGTGCCCTCAGTTTTGCTGTAGGCTTCATGTCTGAATAAAACCTAGGAATACATATACTCCTGCCACTAACAAAAGCAGCATTTTAAAGGTACAAAACTAGCTGGTTTTGCAAGTTTTACAAACAGCAATTCCAAGGTTCAATTCAACTGGTACAAACAAAACATCCTGTGTTTTCACTAGAAGGTATGGAGCTAGAGAGTAGTCTTTTTGATTATGTGTGGGGTCTTTAGCCACTACTGAACACAGCAAATTATTCTTCCTCTTACTGAGCAAAGTTACTGTTGGAAACCTGAGCAGTAGCTGTATTTTATTTGCCAGAATGAAAGAAATCTAAAAAGTGAGTGAAATATCTTAGAAATTAACTGACCACAACTTATCTGAATTTTAAAGCAATTTCAAGTCTGTGTAGAGACACCAGCAGGAAAATAACCTATTCACCAACATAGCTAAGAAAATTAATCACCTTGGTGAAACTTTAAAATCTTCTGCTGCATATGTTATACAGCTTCTTTATATAATATTTTAAATAAAACTACACAGCAAAGTTAATAATAGCTGTGCCCAGTATCAACTGGATCACTGTCATTTGCAAACTGGCTGAAAATCTTACTGTCTGAATCTATTCTTGCAGAAGTTAGCTCCATTTAGTGCCTCCATTTCTCCTATTGCAAATCAACAAAAAAATGTCTTGAAAGATGCCTCTGGTACAATATTGTGGATACTCCTCCACTCTGAAGGAGTATCTGCAGACACTCTCATGCATTGGGCTATTTGTCTCCACCTGATACCATGTCCCTGAAGTGAAACCAACAAGGAAATTGGGAAAAAAAATAATAATCCCAACAACTCTGATTTCTCTGGTGTATTCTCTCTGCAGCAGACTTTAATGCATCTTGAAGTGATGTGCTTAGAAAGAAATAAAAATTGGATGGATGAAATTGAGTGGAACGGACAACAGCAAAGAAATTTGGAGGAGTAAAAAGGGAAGGACATGAGAAGAATGAAGTTCTGAGAATGCTGAGGCTCATCTATGTCATACCAGGGGTTTTAATGGTAAAAAGACAGGCATGTGCAGACCTAACATGAAAATGATTACACCAAATCAGATGAAGCTTCCACTTAACCTAGTATTTGGTCTCTTAACAGCAGACAACTCAAATGCTTAAGGAAATGTAAGAACTGGGCAAGTATATTCTGTTACTAGTGCACTCTTCTACCTTTTCGCAGTCAGTATTTAGGGTACTTTGGACAGGAGAGCACTGTACTCAATAGCTCCCTGTAGATCTTTTTACCCTCATGAATTTGTTTTAGTCCATTTTGAACCAAGTAACTTTTGGTTTGGTTTTTTTTTTTTGCACTGAACTAATTTGATTTTTCTTACTTCCACAACATCCTTTAGATGTTCCTGCAGTAGGCTTCAGCTTTGAATGTTCATGTTTTAGATTCAAGTGGCAATATTTTTCCTTATTACATGTAGGACACGTAAGTACAATTTTAAATCTCTTGCTTCATTTTCCCCGTGACATAATAGGACTCATAGTACCTTCTTTCTTCCAAAAGTGGCTGCTAAGTTGAAGAGATTTAAGAGATGCTTAAAATCCTACAAGAGTTATACAAGAATTTGGATTTCATACATGCTATTTCAAACCACAACACTTCAATCATTATCTATGAACCTATATATGTGCATATGTACATATATGCGTCGATATACACATCTGTCTACATACGTCGGCGCATATACACACATATCCTACTTTTTCTACATATCTTCAAATTACATTTTTGGGATTATAATACGTATTTTCTATTTGTATGAAAAAATTAAGCATAAATGTGTAAGAACAAAAGGATGAAAACAAATAATAGATACAATCCACTATTTGTTGATATTTCACACGGAATTACCAAACATTTCTTTAAAGTTTTAGTTTTCTGCATTAAAAAATGTTGGCAGATCATAACAGCTGAAGAGTTGCCTTCCTTCCGTCCCTCTCCATCCCGGATGACTGGCTCAAGATATGGCTAGTTGTTTCATCCTTATCCTGATTACAACAGACACACGCATCTCTTAATAAAACAATACAAAACTCTTTCGAAACCCTCTTCCCAACTGAACCATCCAAGCATTTTTATTCAGTTTGATTAAGCAATTTATCTCTGAACTACTCTTTTAATGTAACAGAATCCTTTGAGAAAACGCTTAATATACTTTATCCTTGAAGGTATAGTATTTTCTGATGAAATAAGCAACATTTAAAGATATTCACCTCATTAAAAAATGCTGTGCTATCCTTAAGCAGTATGCAAAAAAAAAAAAATAAATTACCTTGCTTAACTGAATGCCATAACTCCAAAAATTTCCCTAAGAGTCATAAAAAACACACTGTCAACAAACTAGAAGACAACCCTGCCCTTCATAAAATTATGGAAAGAGAAAATTCCTCAGCTTCATGACAAACAAAACCGAAAGTTTTTAAATTGTAACAAATGGCACAGTAGTATTATATATTAATAATTTCCTGACATCAGCTTAAGATTTGTTCAAATCTCTCCATTAATTCCTCTCTTGAAGTCAGTCTTATCTGCTGCATCTTTTATGTCATATGACTGTGAAAAGAGAAATTAAAGCATACACTTTTGGCCTGCTCCTAATGCTAATTCATTTAGACAAACATTATTTTGCATTTGCAACAAGCTAATACCATGTAAAAAGTCAGTTACAGCATCCTAACTGATCACTGGTAGCCCAATTTCAGTAATATGATTGCTTCCAAAATTTATTTTTACAGTGTAAACTCACTATTTGTTGATGTTGATTTTTCAGTATTTTGTTATTTCTCCTCCTCCCTGGTAAAATACCTTCTCAGAATCCTCTCCCAGCCCTCAGAGCCAGACGTGC